GACTTTGAATTGTCGTTAAAACATTGGAAGTTTCTCTTTGAATATTCCTTAAATTTTATAAATACCTTTGAGTATTTCAAAAGCCTCATCAAAATGGTAACAGTACTAAAAAGATATTAAAAAAATAATTATCTGATAACAAATAATTAAAATAATTAATTATAATTCTTATTCAACATATAAAATATTTAATTTTATTAATATTGAGTTTTATTCAATATTATTAACTAAAATATATAAACAAAAAAAATTCTATTTTTTTCTTAAAGATTTAAAATCAAAAATAATTAAATAATAGAAATATATATATTTTTTACTTATTAATAATGATAATTTTTTAACAAAAAAAGAAATTTAAAAGAAATTTAAAAGCAATTTACAAAATAAATATATAAGTTTTATATTAATAATAATTTTAAATATCTTTGAATATATATATATATGAATAAATTGGTATTGCAACAAAATGTGAATTTTATAAACTTACTTAGTAATACCAAATAAAATTTGTATTTTTTATATAATAATATTAATAAAATCTTATTAAAAAGTAATTAAAAAAGATTTTTATCTAAATTTTTAAGATCACAGCTTGATCTTGTTATTTATATTATTTTAATTCATTTTATTTTATATTACAAATAATATAATAAATATATATCTAAATGTAAAAGATTTTCATGATGTAAAGACTTCAAAAATAAGTAAATTTTATTATAACAAAAAATTAACAATTACATAACTAATACAGAAAATTGATTTTGTTCTTGTTCAGGATTTTTAATTAATTAATTTTTTCTTTGAAACATTTAGTTAAAATATTCTTTTTTATAATTAATATAACTTTCTTTCAAAATATTCAACGTTAAAATAAATATTCATTTATATTTTTTTCTGCACAATTTCTCTTTACACAATCTTTTTTTATGTAATTTTCTAGTTCTGATCAATAGTCGTTAACTTTTATATAATCACATAATTTAACAAAGGTAAAAAAATTAATTAAAAAGTTTAATAATATTAAAAAATAATTTTTTTAAAAATAATATAATGTGTTTTAACTAATTCAATAAATATTAAAGAATCAAATCAACTTTTTAATGATTATGAATCAATCTTACAAGATGTATTGAGTATTATACAAGAACAATATATTATAAATGATGTTCGTTGAGCACAAGCAATTCAAAAAAGTTTTGAAGGAATTCAAAATTTGGTAATGGACATAAAAACATATAAAAAAAGACAAGTAATCCATGCACTTGGAAAGATCACAATAAGCATACAATGTTTTTATCATAAATAATCAATTTATATGTTACTATTATTACGTACAATAATAAGAATACTCTAGCCATGACAAAAAAGTGTTCAAATCATGTAATATTTGGGTATATTCGAAAAAATTCTATGATAATTATCAAAGATTAATTTAAGATTAAGGTTAGGGATAGATTCTGGAGTCAATATTACAGTCAATCTTGATATAATGAAACCTGGATATAACGAAACCTGGATATAACGAAACCTGGATATAACGAAATCCTTGATATAATGAAAGAAAAAAATCTTTTGTTTTAAAATTACCTCTATATAGCAAAGTTTCATAAAACGAAAAAAATTCCAGCTCAAGAGGTTCGTTATATCGAGGTTTGATTGTATATATAAAATTGCCTTCCCGACATTTTTGATTAGTCTATCAAGCTAGATTTAGATATTTGTTTCCCGTATTTTTACTTTTTTTGCTTTTTCATTTTCTTGTATCAGATTTGTTTTGCCGGGCTGATAAAAAATTTACGCATTTTATTGGTTTGTGTCACCAGCAGATCAAAAAATTCACGATTCTTATTACTTACCACGTGATCTAAACACTTTTTCGCCATGACTAGGATACTCCAATAATAATAATAATCAGAATAAAAACGTCATCAAGTTCTGATGAGTCATATGATTTCACGTGATTACGTAGAAAATCGGGGGTAGTTATCAGGGCGCGATTTAACGACATGCATGTTTTTTAATTAAAGTCAGGAAATTTTGATATAACGATTGGTTAAATAAATCACGTGAAATAGGTAATTACATCAATATTTAATAACTATATACACCAACTATTTTAAAGTATAATATCTAAACCAATTTAGCTTGTAAAAAAAAGAAACAGGAAAGACTGACCTCTTAACGAATCAATTATGAAATGTGTTCTTTGACGTGTAGAAGTTGGAATTTTCAAATTCTTTCTTTTAATTAAATTAATTTGATTCATTTTCACGAAAGAAAGAACATAGTATGAAGTGAAAAAAGACAATGCAGTGCACTGTTATTCCCCCTGATACTTTAACCCCTTTTTTATTTGCTCGATTCGGATTTGAAAAATGTCGGTAATTCTATTAGACTTCGTTAAATTGAATTTATCGTAAAATCGTAATAATTTTTCTTATTATTGGGGGAAATAAAAATAAAAATCGGTAATACTAAATTGCGAGAATATTAATTAGTATCGATATATCACATAATTTTAAAGCTTTATGAATTAGGAAATTCAAATTTAATCGGTAATGGCAATCACATAGTCGTTAAATCGCGCCCTGATTGTATGTATTTAGGGGTATAGTACGACGTGGGCGATAAAATACATGTACAATGTACATGTATTTAGGGAGGGTGATATAAATATAGAACATAGTACGACGTTAAAATACGGACGGTATCATGGGATTTAGAATCTTGGCTTTCTTTTTTATATTAAGTTTTAATGCCGTAATATAAATGTTGAATATGAACCGTGTCTAAAAACTTCACCCGCGTCTTTATGAAATCGGGTATCCGGGGCGAAAGATAATGTTGGAATGAATGCTGTCGAAACTAACCTAGTAAATCATATTGATATATCAAAACGCGATTTTAATAGCAAATAAATTTATTTTTGACGTTAAAGGTTCATATTAAACGATTAATCAAGTTAAATCGCACATAATCATATGTCTTGTGATTCATAAACCGGATCAGTACATCCGGTTTACCAACTCGGGTGTATTTTTCCGAAAAATCCCAACTCGGGTGAACTAAATCTCTAGTGTTGAATGTTCAGTTTGGAATTTGGAAAGTTTCCTTTCACTATCAATCAATTTCCAAAATTTTTCTATATGCAGATAATACGTAATAATAAAAACACACTTACTGTATTCTTATCGACTACATGTATTTCTATCGCAATACAAATTAAGGGTGAAGATCATTGCTGATTCGGAAATTTTGAAGGTTTTGCCATAAACAATAAATAGGCAGCGTGTGTGTTGCTCTTATCTCAAAAACACTTTTTGTTGTTTCGCTAACCAGTTAAGAATTAAAGTAAAAAGCAATTTTTATTGATACCGGAAAAAACCAACAAATAAAATGTCGATAAATCTTTCTCAGCAACATCTTCTCGACTATAGTGAATTCGCATACGGCGACGAAACATACTATAATGAAAGTTATTTACCATTCGTAGAATTTCAAATGACAAACCAACAAAAAATTTGCTCGTTATTAACAACGACCAAAGAACACTTTTCTATTACCAATACGACAACCACAGCGGCAACTGATGATAATGACATGACAAACAAGGAAGAAGCACCATCACGAATAATATTATCGCTGGTTAATTACGTAGCAAATGAGTTCGACCAAGATTTAAACCATAGATCTTGCGAATCGCCTGGACTATTATCTTCTTCTTCGACGACTTCTCCATATTCAGATCCCCAGACGCCAGTGAATCAAAGTATTGCAGAACGAAGAAATAGACTTGATCCTAAAGATAACCGCCTTTCTTCTTCTACAACCACGACTGCATCAATAACGACCGATATCAAAACAACAACATCAATACAAACAGTAATAAATGAACGAACGGGATATTTTGATGGATGGGACGGTGCAATTATCAAAGGATCAAATAAATCGATATTCGGTGATTCGGTATTTCTTATTCATATTCATACTAAATTGTGTACACGTGTTTCTTTTCAATGTCTAATTTAAATGAATTAACCACTTTTTTTATTAGGATACAACGAACACAGACACTGTTTCAGTACTATTTCGTGATTCGGATAATTACGGTGGAGCGTTGTTAAATGATGATATCGGATTATTTGAAGATAGCAAAAAAGATTCAAAATCATCGTCAAAAAAAACAAGCCCAACAAATTTATCTATACAAAGTGTTGATTCTCAAAAAGGATTTTTCAAGATGATATTTCGTAGTGGAAAATCACCCTTATCGCAAAACACTTGTGAGAATAAAAATGATCAACGAACTTTAACTATTCCACTCAATAATAATAGAATGATGAAGTCGCCGGAGACGACAACAGAATTAACACCGCAACAGCAATATCAACTTAACATGCGACGACATTTAGAGCAGGCGTTGTACGTGGCTCGAAAAAAGTCGGTTGCTGCTGCTTTTCGACGTGAAGTTTGTCCTGTATAAATTTCGTTCATATCGAAATTAAAAACAAAATTATAGTTTAACACGGAACAATTACGCAGTTGTAGATATCAATAAATTACACTTTACTACCATACTAACTAGACCAATAATCGATTAATTGATTAGGATGACTTGTTTTTCATAATAATATTAGCATTTACTGATAAGAAACTGAAAAAGTCTGTGTTACCCCGTAAACAACAAGAACGAAAAAAACAAACAAATGACTATTCACTATACAATAAAATAACTATTGTTATTTTCTTCCATTATTCGGATATATACTAAAAAAAGCACTAAACCCTTGACAATCAACAATCATCATGGTTCGAGTCCCTCAATAAACCATTTTTATACATGCATGTGTCATGCGCGTATTGGTGTGCAACGTGAATCATGCTACAGTATAGCAGATAGATGGAATATATATGTATATACATGTATCTATAGCCGACAATGAACATTTGCGTCTTTCATATTGTATGCGATATACATGTACTTGATAGAAACATGTCGTGAGAATATTTGTATTTATGTAAAGCAAGTACGTAGTAAACAAACCTACCTTTTTTTTCAATCAGGACACTTATTTTTTTTTTGGCTGAAAAAAAGCCAAATTACATGTGCTACAGTGATTATATTTAGGTCATTATTATATGCTTGGGTAGGTTATGTAAAATGTACGTAGTGAGGGAGACCTAGAATTACTAGGCAAAAGAAGAATTCCATAGTTCCATAGAATGAATGTTTCTGCGAATGCAAGCGGTGAATGGGATTAGATTACATATATGTATGTAAACAAAGAATATCCCCCGTAAATTTCCTATTGTAAGTTTGTAAGACGGACGGAAATTTAGGATTCAATTTCATATTCAAAACCACATGAAACTATTATTAGAAATGTTCCAAAGAAATTTATATACATGTATTAATTTTTCATTTCAATATATATTTGGTTTTATGATTCAGCATCTTATTGAATGCAATACGTATTACAGTGAGTGCTATCGTTGTCAAAAACGTGCAGCGAATAATAATCTAATTAGATCATGTCAATACGCAATAAGAATTATTATATGCAAATTCAAAAGCCTAGTTTGCAAGGAAAAAAAATATTGTCCTCAAAATGTAGTAGAAGGAATGTATGTCAAGTTTTTTTGCAAAAAAAGTTTCTATAACGATAATGTAATTATTATTGACATGATCTACCTCACACTTGCTTGGCATATTCGAAAAAAAAGCGACGAACTTGCAGCACGGTACAAACTTGATGATTTCAAAATTCGGTAGAATCAAGAAACGCCAGAGCTCAATATAGCCTTAGAAACCTACACAATGCATTGCTGATTCAGCGATTATAACATGCCACATATAAGATTTGGAGCTATACGCCCGATCAGTTGATATTATGAATTTTATATAGAGCGATGGATCTTTAGCTAGATCGGGGCGTTGTCACTTAAGTGGGAGAGAAAACAGCAGCGGAAGATTGTGTATACTGTTGGTGTTGTTTGATAAAAAGTCACTGTTTGATGCTTCTTCGTACAAATTTATTTTTGCTAATTTCATTTTTTTTAATACAAACCAGGAATTGCCCAATACATGTAATATTCTGTCGCCATTGTACAATAAGAATATAATTGATTAAACAATCAAAATTCCGAAATCGCTTCATAGAATTATTTTCTCAATCGTGTGCCGAAGAATTGTTATTAAAATGATGTTAATTAAAGTACATCAACCATTGTAGTCGCATATTCAAAACAACTATTATATAGGTGCTGACAACTTTATGCGTACAATCGAAATTTCTGGTCTAGATCGTATGGTAATGGGAAATTTGGGGTAATGTGGATTGGATCGATGAGTTACTTTTAAGATAAAATTAAAGTTACATGTTGAAATTTTTATATATTATAGAACTTTCAGCTTTTAAAATAAGTAATCTATTTATCACATCCCGTGCTGGCTTGTGAGAAGCTTTATCATCTACACAAGGGTTCAAGAAGAATGGTTGTTGCATATGGTGACGAAACCCCTCATCTAGTAGTTGATATGGTGTTTAAAATGTGATTGGTAAGTTGACAATTCAGAACGTGTAATGATGTATGTTTGATGAGTCTCTAGCTCACTTTCATTTTTTAGACCGGGATATAAAAAATTGTGATTATATTAATTGGGGACCAGTCGGTCATAAAGCGAGGCTCATGAAATGAAAAATATAATACATGTATATAAAACATTCGTTACTAGCACATGATTTGAATACATAAAGTCCAATTAAGAATTATCTTTTAATATTAATAGCGATAGTAAAAACGAGTTAAAAAAACCCAAATAGTGTTTACAAAAGACTTGCATATCCTTATCATTACTGGTTATCATTATCGTTATCGTTATAGTACTAACAATAATAATAATGATAACAATAAACAATTCCTTTTAAAGCAATTCTCATACCATATTAATATTTTTCAGGATAATTCATAGACAGAATTTAAACTAATTGAATGTTATCAATACAGATTGGGAATTTTAAAATATCTCGGTATTGTATCAAAAAGCCTATCGCTATGAATCTTTTAAGTTTTCAATGTATATTTGTATTATTATTGATTCTTTATACATCATACAAGCACCAATTTCTATTGTTGCAGTTTTTCTCTAAAAAAGATGAACGTGAATGCTCATTGCATTATCTGAATGTCATTGAAAGAAACCAAAATACTAATTTATACAGTATTATCAGAGTTGCAAATTTTTTCTTCCAGTAAACTTTTATGGCAACTGGAAGTCCATTGGAAGTTCCATTTGATATTAATTTTGCTTCCAATAGCCTTCCAATGACCTTTCACTAACCTTCTGAGTGCTTCCATTGACAACACTGATTGACGATGAAGCTAAATTTACTTTTTAAGATTTTAATTATTGCTATTAAAAAATAAGAGATAGAACTACGTATTTTGGTACGCATTTGGTTATTAACGAAGAGATCGAAAGTAAAAATGCAGATCTCAAAAATATCACCGTTTTGTTAAGCAATTTTTTATAAGTTATGGTTGAGTTATTAGGTAGGTAGGAAAGCTTAAGCAGGATTAGCACGCTCCACACAAACTTTGTCATATTGTTTAAAATTCATTATCAGAAAATCATTTTATATTTTTTGTATTAAATTAACATTAGTAGGATATAAAGTTGAGATAAACAGATCCTCGTTTATTAAAAGCCTTTTGGTCGAGGAAAATAGCAGAATGACAATATTTTACAAAAGATGTTGATTTTCTTTTTTTATAACGATTTGTTTATTATTAAAAATAAATGTTTAAAGAAATAATTCTTATTGAGAAATTATATTCATGCTACAGTGCAGGACACTTAAAGACGCCGATAAAATTAGTCATCTTTAAAGCAAAGGATCTTTATACAAAGATTATACAAAAAAAAAAAGAAGGCCGCTATTTTGTAGTAAATAGGTTTAGTTACAAAATATTGGCCCCTTTATTTTGTATGACCTTTGTATAAAGATCCTTTGCTTTAAAGATGACTAATTTTATTGGCGTCTTTAAGTGTATGTATATAAATATGATAATGCTTATCTGATGCAATTATTTCGTTGTTATTGTTCCCAAAAACATGTTTATAATGAACCTACTGTTAGAGTAGTAATGGTGATAATGAGAAAATATTCTTTGTTATAAATAGCAAACCATTTTTTGGTATTAGTGACTGTTGTACTAAAATGAATTATTTTATAGTTACTATACAGATACATCAATGTTTTGAAAGCAATGACAAATTGAACTTTGATTGTTTTAGATAAGATTTGGCTCCAAAATTTGAAAACCTAAAATATGTACTCTGAAGTCTAACATAAATATATAATATTATTTGCTACAAAAAATGTGAAAATATGTTTATATTTCAAAAAGAAAAGTTTACTGATATATCGAGTGATTTTAGTTATTTCTTAAAAAAAAAGTGCATTTTTATTATCAAAAATAATGCAACAATATCAAAATTTATTAATTAACATAGTAAAAATACGAGTTTTTCTTTTTATATAAAGTTTTTAATTTTATTAATAAATATTTTTATTTTTAAAGACAATATCACATATATTTTTAGATTTAATCTGATAAAGCTGTTCTAATTGTATATAAAGTTAATTATTTTTTTATATTAAAATATGTAATATTATCTTCATTTTAATATAAAAATAAAAAATATTTATTAATAAAATTAAAAAGAAAAAATTCATATTTTACTATGTTTAATTAATAAATTTTAATTGTCACTATATATAATTATATATCTTAGAAAACTTCTAAACCTTTAAGAAATAATAGTAAATTTTAATACAAATTATTAATTATTTTTAATATTAAAATTATTATTATTTGGTGTAATAAATAATATATTTTATTTTTATTATATTAATTATTTAATTATTAGAAATTTGGCAAAAATTATCTGATTTTTTGGTAAATGAATTAGTCAAATTATTAGATTTATTTAAATTAATATTATTATATATAGTAATAATTATTATTATATATATAGTAATAATTATTATTATATATATAGTAATAATTAAAAATAATGCAAAAACAAAAAAAAATATTAATAAAATATTATTTTTATATTAAAATAAAGATAATATCTCATATTTTAATATATTTTTTCAGATTTTTAGATTTAATCTAATAAAATTATTTAAATTTCATATAAAATTAATAATTTTTTATATTTTTATTATAAAAAAATTATTAATTTTATAAATAATTAAAACAATTTGTTAAACTAAATCTATAAAATCTGAAAAATATATATATTAAAACATGTAATATTATCTCTATTTTAATATATATACAAAATATTTATTAATAAATTAAATATTTTATATAAAGAAAAAAACTCATATTTATTATATATATATTAATTATTTTTTAATTAAACATAAATTTCAATTTATATAATTTCAAAATTTTTTATATATAATA